CATAGGTTTCTAGTATTGATGTATACCCTACAACGGGTAAGACAGCATTATGGGGGGGGGGGACTAGGTTATGACAGATTATTATCATCTTTCTTTTAATTATTATGTACTTTTTTTTATCTTAAAGTAGCTTGTGTGCCAATTGTATGTACTGTAAAATACTTTATTTTCGCTGAAAAGACTTTTTGGATGTTTTGTATGGAATTTATTTTCACTGATTTTTGGAGTTGAGTGTGAAATATAGGAAAAAAAGTATATTCGCTGGTTTCAGCGAAAATAACGAAAATGAATTCCAAGCGAAAATAAATTATTCTACAGTAACAGGTCATTCTTAGACCCCCCCTGACAGAAATAATGGTTCAACCTAAGCCTGATTAATAAAAAAGTTCCAAACAGCGTTACATAATTGTGATCAATCAATAGTACCAATATGAATATTACAATGTGACACAAGAACTACAATGAAATGAGATCCCCCGTCTAGAAATAACCATACATGCACATCGCATAGGATTGATACAAACAAATCCCTGACTGTGTTGTCGATTTGAAGTTTGACATTTACCTACCAGTAATTGAGATTGCCAGCAGCGCTAAGATAGATGTGACAATGTGATAGGAAATAATTCTATGGAATGCTGTCCAGAATAGAATTAGTCAAGGACTATTTACTTTACAATCATGATTCAAAGACGCCAGATTAATGAACTGTTACAAGGATTTCCAATAAGTTTATTATAACAAACCTGTTTTCAATTCAAGTCAATTTTTCACAGCCCTCTCTCATGAGCAATAATTGTTACTAATTTTTAAATAATTCTAGCTTTCATTATATCAACAAATCCAAAATTAGTTTCAAGTGAATTACAAGTAATTATATATCTCACAAATTCCAGAAGATTATCAAATTTGTTTGCTTTGAGAAGATTGTACATATCATTTCTGTACATTTAGGTATATTTCTGACAGACTTTTCATGACTTTGGATTCCGCATCATAATAATAACAATAACTTTATTGCATCTTTAGAAATGCTTCTTTCAGTAAATAGCAGCAAAGAATGAAATACAATTAAAAAAACAAATTTTTTTAAATTAAAAATTAGTTTTTTTTCTTAAAAATAATATAATATAATTAATTCTAGGGGATAAAGGAAAGACTCAGATCAGGTTGTGAAAATCTTGAAAATTTCTGTTGTCTTGAAAACAGTAAATCATTTTACTCACCTTAAAATTTCAACATCCAGAGTTTCATTTGCATTGTCTATATATGTCATTGCTCCATCACGTGTTATGCCTTCACAACTTTTACCGTTAATTGCAACTATTTCATCTCCCTCTTCTAGCTTGGCAAGATTCGCTTTACTTCTACGTCGAATCTGGAAACATTCAAAAATACAATGGAAAGCATAGTAATTCAAATATGGACATATCTTTGATGGAAAAAAAAATGTATTACACTTATTTCAGATTACCTTAACGGTTAATTTAATATGTAAATAACATTTATAAATTCAAATTGACAGTTAAAAACCTTTCACCCAGTTACAAGGAAGCTGATAATAAATGCGCACCCTAAAAACAAATGACAACCTCCCTCATTTGATTTTGAGTCTATATTTATAAACATTTACATTTTACAACATCCAAGGGTTATTTGAATTGTGTATAAAGTTACCAAAAATAATACAAATTTTCTCAAATAACAGTAACAGAGTTTGCCTGAAAACTGGATCGATAATTATTAATAATTGATTTGATTATCAACAATTGCATAGAAGTAGTTCTGCAGACTCATTCTACAGTAAGTAAGACCAGATTTCAGATACTTCCTGGGGTTTATAATGAATCAACCCTCCCTGGGATCGAGGTCAAAATGCTACTTACTGAGATTTATTGACAAACAGATATATGGATATGATTTTGGGGAGAGGGAGGGGGGAGAGGGGGGGTAGCTTGATTCAGGTTTTCAGGTGAGCTATTACATGTATGAATAGAATAGAATAGAATAAGTGCTTTATTGACACCGTAAAGAAAATATTACATTTCTTCTTTGGTTATGTACATCAATGAAGTTGAAAAACTTAAAATTGAAAACATAGTAATGTATTAAGTAAAAAATATATAATAAAAATAGCAACATTAGACTATACTACTAGTATTTTGATTGTGAAATTAGTCCTTTCACACATACTAAATTTACTTAATAGTACAGAGTGAAAATTAATGTAATTCAAACAAACTGTATGTTTCAGCTCTATTGGTAGTGTATGCGCTTATGTAAATGACAGAGG